AATATGCTCGCAAAACAACAAAAATTAGGTACAGTTTAATGTTTTTTATTCAGTTTACTTCAAGGATTGAAAAATTACAATGGACACACTAGTTTTGCTCGATATTCTCAAATAATGGAGATCTGCGTTGGTTGGTCTTAATTTTTTTAAATATTCGTTATTAGGTATTCAATGCTTCCCGTAGAGACAAACCATTGGTATTAAATTTTTATATCCAAGCAGAAATGAAATTAAAGTTACGGGTTAACAAAAACTAGATCTGTTTTTATATGTTATTATTTTCCATGATACAAATATTTCAAGGTAAAACCGCTCGCTCAATTCGTCGGCCATCATTTATTTTTTGAAATTTCTCCACTTTATAAAATTGAAATTTTGAGAGCAACTCAAGTAAAAAAAAACAAGTATATGAATATATTCAAATTTTCTTTTATTTGAGAATGTATTTGTGAGATTGAAAATTTTAAAACATTTTTGTTATGCTAGCAAACTTCAAAAATGTCCAGGCTGCCTCTCAGCGGTTTTACCTTCAAATTTTTATATCATGATTATTTTCAAACATTTATTTAGTTCGACGAATAAAAAAGCCCAGGAAATGGTCAAGAAAAATTTATAGAGCCAAATTTTCTTAAGCAGTACGAAGTTCTTAAGAAATTTGCTACGCTTTCTGCTATGGTTTGCTAAAGTTTGTTTGTGAAGAGTAACAGGCACCCTTGTTTTCAACAGAAATATATGCCCGTTCCATTATTTCGTAAGGAAAAAGTAAAACAGCAGGCGGTAAGCTTAAATTTTTTGGTCCTGGTAATAACTTCCCTGAACCCTTATTGGTACGCTTTTGCGTACTGCTAAAGGTTATGAATTTATTACGCTTTAATTTGTATACTTCTTGCCTGCCCCAAATCAGCAACGGATAAACTTTCCAATGATGGCATATCCTCTAAAAACATCGGTAGTAAGAAAAACATCGATGTTTTTAAAAAAATATTTAAACATCGATACTATCGATAGTGCTCCGATGTTTTTGCAGCTCTATGAGCCAGTAATAAAACCGCGTTGAAATGGTTTTCACATACACGGGAAGAATCTTCCAATTGAACACCGCAGCTGTTCTCCCAACGAAGTCTTCTAACGTCGCAACTAGGCGCCTTAAAGTATCGCACCACTTTGACGCCTTGGATCTTGCCACACATAGCGCAACGCTCGTAGTTCCTTCTCCTTTTCATTTTTGTATATGTATGTATCTATAAACACATGTGGTCGAAAAACAAAAAAATTCACACAATTGAAAACTATATCAAAGCACGCAATTGAATTTAAACAAAAAAATTAGAAAATGCCAACTTGAAAAGGGTTAAAAGTTATTCATTAACATTATAGTCGGTGTTCAAAGGAGAGAAATGTCAAAATCACTTCTACCTTGTTTAACATGCCTTGCTTGTGAGCTAGTCAGCTTGTGTTGAGCAAGTAATCACAACCCTGTATGATCTCGGTATAGACTTAGAGCACACCACAAACTAGATGCAAGTGATTGTAACTAGTCCAAAGTTTGGTCCAACAACATGTAAAATTCTAGTTACATTTAACAAAACAAAACAAACAAAAATAAAACTTGCGCCAGCTGCGATTCGAACCGGGGTTCTCAGATTTTCTAAGCGGATACTCTCTCTGCATGCCAATGTCGCACATGAAAATTTGTTGACTAAGTGCCTACATATCAGCAAGTCGTTAATTGTACCCGTTGTCCGCTACTGCATGACATTGTAACCAGTTTTAGATTAAAAATCATACCTTATCCATTACATTCGGACCACTTTTAGTACAATTAACCTGTTTTACATTACATTGCTTTATATTTTTGGACTAT